TATTGAATAAATCATGTAGTAGATAATACTAGATCACTTATAAACCCATTGAGTTTCTTTTAAAAGTAGTTTATGATATAAAATGATGAGGTAACAGGATTATCAATATTATTATGAATTATTTATATTTTAATTTGTTTTTAAAGATGGTAAAAGAAAGTTTGTTACACTCAACTTCATAGTTAACAAATGGAAATGTGGAGGTGTAGTCTTTTTCAAGTTAATAAGTATATTTTTATTAATTATTAGTTAAGAATAAGGAAATTTTTTTTCTAAGAAGGGCATCAGATATAACAGAGAATGAAGATAACATAATTATGTGGACCGAATCAAACATGACATTTGATGTTTTTGGAAGGTTACAACAATGTAACAAACATCTAATGAAGACCATAGAAGTCAGCAGCCGAAATGTTACAAAAAAGGTAAAAACAAAAACTGTACAATGAGCCAACCATGAAAAAGGTGAAATACTTAATCTCAGAGGGAATGTAGTTTGGATAATGAAGAAGAAGAACAGTGTAGCACTGTGGACCAGAAAACATAACATTTGACATTCCTGCAATGTTACCAAATACAGGAGATACCTGAAGAAGGCAAGTGAGTACATTAGCCGAAATGTTGTGACAATGATAATAAAAAAAAAAAACTGGTCTGAAAAAGAATGAATAAATAGTGATATTTTATGTTAGAAATTCAGACAAAGATTTCGATCTAATAATCCTCTAAGTGGAGAAAACTTTTCTGCTTTGAAAATCAGCATTCAGAATCCTGACTTTACCTAGGCTTGAACACTGACCACTGGTATCAGTGAGAAATAAATAACTTCTCAATTAAGCAGGATTTTTTTTATGAAAATTGCAATTATTGGTTTATTATTGATTATACAAAGGTGTGCTGAAAAGTTTTCATTTTAAAACAATACATGTAACACCTTAAGATGGCTTGAAAATGAAGTGGCTGTAATGTTGCAATAAAGGCAACAAAGGTGAGGACTTGTTATGAAAAATAAAATCAGTTTACATTAATTAAACCATAAAATTTGTAAAACACTAAAACAAAAACTCTGTAATGAACCAACTGTGTAGAAGCTTAACCTTATATAAAATGTAGTCTGTAAGCTACGGTCCCAGAAGTGACTAGTAGATCACCGAGAGTAATTTATCATTTGGGCAAACACCTTCTGTAAGTTTGCTCTTTCATCAACTGTTGTTAATGTAAAATCGGCAGCCACAGAGGAACTTACTAATTGAGCAAAGAGAATAAGAAGGAAAATCTTTTTTTCTGTCGAAGCAGGGAGGGGTCTACTTTTTTTTCTAAGTACGTGTAGGAAAAGAACTTATTATTTGAAGTCCTTTTTCTCCCACCCAAACTCAATCAGCAAAAAAAAAAAAACTTAAAGCAGGAAGTAAAGGTTTGTAAGTCAGGGATGGAGGTGTAAAAGTAGGTATATTTACAAGCTGAAAAAAAAGTAAAATTCTACTGGGATGTTACAGATGAAACACCCACATTGGAGTTTTAAAAAGAGACAAAAAAAAAATAGGAAAAAAAAAAAATATATATATATATTGCAAGTAAAAGAGAAGTTTTGGTCAGTGATGTATTAGTAAGCTATATCATGCCTGGCTAGTAACATCCGTCAGGTGTACATGTTCCAACAATTGCTGAAACACCTTTTAAGAAGAGCAAGTCTGTTAATTTTCATGTCTGTTGGGTAGTTAACATACAAAATTAGATTTTGTTATAGACAGCGTGCTTACAGATAGAATTCTAATTGTGTTACAACAAAAGACCAATGTCAAGAGTGGACAAAGAAAAGAAATTAACAAGGAACTAAAAAGATGGAAGCACTGACAAACTCAAAGAGATAAATCAAATATATTTTTTTTTTTTTTTATGTAGGGGAGCTTCAAAGTTAAAGAGGTAAAACTCCAAGCAATTTAAAAAATTAAAAAAACATTCAATTAATGTTTTAAGAAAAGAAAACTTTATACAAATTACATCATCAATTAAATAGCAAAAAAGATATTTTTTTTTCATTGCTTTATCTTTCTTTTCAAAGAAACAGATTAGTGATTAGTGTTTGGAAACTGAGGGTCAAGATCTCCAAATAATCTATTGTTCTGGTACAATTAAGCAAGCCCATTAACCAAACTTTGCATTTATAGAATACAAAAAAAAAAAATCTGCTTGTATTTTTATCATTAATCAATAACAAAGAAGCAGAAAGTAAATTTCAAATTAAGCATAACTCTTTGCTCCAAACGTCATATTTAAGCAGCATCTAAAAATTATTTTATACTCAAGAAAGCACAGAAAAAAATTTCTAAACTTAATTCACAGCAATCCAACAAAATATATCCTGTCAATTGTACATTTTGTTGCTGACGATTTTTCTGGTATTTATTTATTTATCTATCGCCATCATTGTCTTTGATCATATCAAGCTTACTTTATAATGTCATCATTCCCAGTCCTCCAGGGCATTGGGTAGTTTGTCCACATTGCATCCAGCATCTTGAGTGTGTCAGTCAATGTCCTCCAAGGGTGTCCAGTGTCATTATGCCCATGAGATAGTTTTCAAAGAAGTGCATTGCTTTTACTTCACAAGAATTATTCAGAAAATCTAAATCTTCTTTCCCTTATTACTTCTAATAAAGCAACCAGTTTACCATAAAGTCTTTCTTTTATTGGATGGTCATGAGATTGGCTAGTAACATATTGACCCAACAATAAACATTCTAATAATAACCATCTTTGATCATGTTCTATCGTGACAGTGAGGATTTAATTGAAATAAAATCTGTTTCTTCTGATAACACTGATTGATGAAACATGTCAACATAAAAGTTTTTCCAAGTTTTCTTAATGACATAATCAAGGTGATGTTTCACATGATCACAAACAAAAGGTAAGGAAGGAAGGAAGGCCCCATCTATCAATACTGGAAAAACGGATAACAGTAAACATAAATTTATTTTCCTGAAATTTTTTTTAAGAAAGATTTTGTAAATTTCAATACAAAGCAGCACTGACTGCTTGGTCAATGAATACCAAATGTTTCCTTATAAGAAAAACATCTAATATTACCATTATAACAACAGTATGTCTGGAAAACCAGAAGTCAAAATGGCTACAATTAAAAGAGAAGAGGTAAAAAAAACAATAAAGAAATGAGTGTAAAGTGAAAAAAATGATGAAAAGGACAAATAACCATGACATTCTACATATATTACATAGACAGGCACATGCATGCATGCATGCATACTATGGAAAAACATGAACCAATGAAAAGTGCATATAAAAAAGAAAAATCAAGAAGTATAAGCAGTCAATTACTTTTACCCTCTGATGAGTCGACAGTGTGATTCCTGGAGGGTTTGTGTATGAAACTCTGGAGTCGGGATGCTGAAGGTAACATCAATCAGCTAAGTTAAAAACCCTTATATATATATATATATATATATATATATATATATATATATATTGGTTTAATATTTAGTAGTTTTTAATTTATATAAGTTTGGGTGAAGACTATGAAAAAATTCTTTGTTTAAGATCTGTTATTTAATTTTTCTACAGTTCAGACCCTTTTTCTTGTTTCTGGGGAGAAATTGAACATAAATTGTCTTTTGAGGAATTTTAGCTTTTAGAAGCCACCGTCAGAGAATTTTAGGTGTTTTGATAGGCATGCATTATGTTCCTTTGATAGTTTCAAGTGTTTTGTAGATGGGTGTCATGTTGTTTTTTTTTTTCAAGTAACAGATCTTGACATATCAGTTTTTGGGGTCATGTTGCTTTTTGTTTCATTTTACAGACACACACACACACACACGCACATATATATATATATATATATATATATATACAATTAAAGAGAGACAGGCAGACACAAAGACATAGAGCTATATATACACACAATCATACTAACATTGAGTAAAAAACAATTTATTTTTCACAATGTAAAACTCTGATGTTGATTGCTCTGGGAATTTATTGAAGACAAAACATTTCAGAACTTCTTCATCCTATCTACCTACAATAATAATTTACAAAATAAAAGGAATTTAAAATTTTCCAAGATATTTACAAAAGTTTGAAAACCTTCTTTTTTAAAAATTCAAGAATGAATATACAATAAATTGAACTTTTATGTAATATCAGTTCTCCAGTGAATGCTGGACAATCTCCAGATGAAGAAACAGAAATGCGGTTCTACAGAAGGATGCTAAGAATACCATGGAGTGACAATGAGGTCCAAGAGACAATAGCAACAAAAAGGACACTTATACTTGACATCAGGAAGAGACATTTGAGGTTATTGGAACACATAATGAGGAAGGAGGGCTTGGAAAATATGATACTCACAGGACAGATTGAAAGTAAAAGAGACAGAGGAAAGTAACAAATAACCTACTTGGTGAGCTTGAGTAAATGGATGGCGAAGCAGTGTATGGGAGAGATGACAAAAAGACAAAAGTCATTAAGAGCTACAAAGAACAGGAAATAGTGGAGCATCATAAACACCAACATCCTGAAGGGATATGGTACATAGAAGAATAAGAATAAATAAATCTTTTTAAATATACAGGGTCTGTTCCTGTTTTTTTTATAATAGCCATTTTAAGTTTTTCTCATTTTCTTAAACATTTTTTTCAACCGATTCCTTTTGTCATTTTAAATTCACTTTTATTTGACCAAGATTAAAGCGAAACACTATAACTTCTTAATATGGCTGAGTTTTCAAAATTCTGTTTTTTTAAAGCATTTTTATGTGGACCTTGGGATATTTCAGTACAAGATCAAATAGTAAAAACATAGATACAAATATTGTATTGTGCCAATATTCCAAGAGGGGAGGATCCAACTGTCTTGATTCACATTTGAAACCTTGAGTTTTACACAGGCTCAAATGCTAAACATGAGAGCCAATGAGAAATGTGGAACTAATTCAGCCACAAAGCAGAACTTATTGATACAAGATTCAGAGTTGATTAGATATGATCTCTGATACTCCATTTTTAAGCTCTCCTTACTTGTCCATCACTCAGGAATTTTGCTGTATGCCAGTGGTTTCCAAAGAGTACTCTATACCATATTAGTGCACAATGAAAGAAGACACATCAACTGTGTCATATGGAAATTCATGAACAATTAATGATACTTACTTAGTGGTATGATTAGCCATTTCATTATTAGGAAACATTCTATATTCATTGACCAAACAGCCTAGTGCTACAAAAGTTACACTTTTTTTACTCTCTGGCCATGAAGCTGGGATCAATGTGTAGTATGTGTTCTCATCCCTAATGTTAACCGTTTCCATATACGGAAATATTTAGCATTCATCAACTAAGTATCCCAGTGCTACTTGAGTTACACTTTTCTTAGATCCCTGGCCACTGGGCTAGGATCAATGTGTAGTATCTGTAATAATAATGGTAATATTAGCCCTTTTCCTTATGCAGAAACATTCAGCATTCATTGACTGAACATCCCAGTGCTACTTTAGTTACACTTTTCTTAGCTCACTGCTCATCCGGCTGGGCTCAAAGTGTTGTATCTGTTCTCCTAATTTTAATGCTAATATTAAATGTTTCCTTATAAGGAAACAGTCTTCACTGACCAAACATCAAATACCAGTTTAGGTTGAAGTTTATAAAATCTTTTTTAGAGAGATTTTTCAAGTTTACCAAATCCACTTGAAAGTCCTCAAGTGATGTAGTTTCTGTTATTTGGTTTTGTGAAGAGGTTCATTTATAAGTATATTTTGAGAATTAACAATGTTTTTATATACCTGCATTTCTGTCTGGATTTCTAGGATGAAGAATTATCATTATTTGCATGTTGACTATTATTCTAATCCCTGTTGCTATCACATTGTTTCAGACATTGTGCACTTCAGTCTTCATCAGGTGATTGTCAATCTGTGTAACCTTCAAGGAATTTCAAACTAAATCCTTTATTTAATCTATTGGGTAAATTGTTCTTGTTCCCATGGGACAAGAAGAGAGTGGATTAAAGCATTGGTTCGTAAACTTGGTGATGTAGTAACTGCAAGTTCAATCCCTGGGTGGGGGAACGTGGACTTGGACTCAGTGGAAATGGTGTAAGAAACAACTGGGAGAGTACTCCTGGACTTAGACAGTGGAATTTTACCTCTGTAGATTAAATAAAGGGTTCTGTTCGAAATTCCCTGAAGGTTATCTGAATCTGATGAAGGCTGTAGGTTACTTTTTATAGTATTTACACATGGACTATAAAATTATTCTTGTAAAGAAACAATCTGATAAACAGTGTTTATTATTTTTGTTAGCAATTCTCAATAACAAAGAAAATGTATAAATTCACTTTCATTCAAATTTTATTACAATTCTAATCATCTCTGTTTAAACAATAAACATTGCCAAGGCATGAAGGTAATTAAACAGGTGTGTCAAGGAAAAAAAATGTCCTTTTGACACATTGTTCGTTTTTGTGGGTATGACAGTTAAAGATTACCAAGTGGTCAATACTATAATTGACTGATATTTGATAAAACTTTTAATTTTGGTACCTCTTTAAAATTTTTAAAATACTTTTGTGATGTCAGTGAACATTAGTTGCCACTTTTGTAATGTCAATGAATACTCGTTGTCACTTTCATAATGTTCGTTGTAGTAGAGACTTTGTAATTGCAGATATAACTATAGTAATGCCATTGAACAATACTGGTGTCAGATGCCTTCGAATGACACTCACACTAATAGTACTTGTTTGATAATACTTGCTCAAAAAGTAACCACCAAATAGTGATCCCTGTAGTGATCAATATAGAGAATAGTATAGTGAATAATCAATCTGTATAATAATAGAGGATAGAGTAGAAATGGTGATTTGTATAGTAATAGAGGATGGAATAGAAATGGTGATCGTTAGACATCACACTAATTGCCATATATACATTTTCATTACTATCACGTGATCTACTTATTTCAAATGGGATTGCCCATCACTGGCAATCTATGTTCAAACTCCAGTGTTGACAGCGACATTTTGTTCCTATATAACAAACACCATGTTTCTTCAAGAGAAAGGCAATTATAGCTCTCAAAATATTTCTTTATATTGTTTAAGCCCAAGGGAGCCTACCTTTAAGGGACAAAACACATAGCTTAATAGCTTTTCTACTTTGTTTTATTATTTCCTTATTTTGGGATATTATTCTAATACTATCACTGACTTATTCTAATCAACCAAGGTGAGGACAACATTTTGGGTTCAATAATAACAATGATGACCAACAAAGTATGTAACTTATATCAGCTGAAGATGATGTAAATAAACACCACAATATGAAATTGTTTTCTTTATAATTTAAACTGTGATGTCAAGTGGACATTAATGTTTTTTCATAAAAACTGAAGCATGTTTTCAAATTACACTAGTTACATTATTCGAACTATTGTCCTCATCTTTGTCGCCATATTTATTACAACATTTCAGCCATTGTACACTCCAGCCTTCTTCAGGTGGTTGGAATGTTGAACTGAGCCCTTTATTTTCGCTCACTGGGGTAGACTGTTATAGTTCCACGTGCCATGTCTAATGGATGTCAGTTATCAGTTTTTCCTGCTTACTTCCCTCTCCAAGTTCTCCACCACCTTAACCAGGTATTGAAATCACACTCTTTAGGTCTTGTCACTGGATCTAACTAACACCTTTATCCACTGTGCCATGTGTCCTTGAGTCTGAATAAATGTAACTAGTGTACATAATACCTCATCTCAGAAATATAGACAGATACTGTTTTCAAATTGTTTCATCATTTAAACTGTGATGTCAAGTTAATGTCAAGGTTTTTTTGTTTGTCTATCAGGTTTAGGCCAATATCCCCCAGCTAATTCACCTGAGGGAAAGAAACAATAAAAATCAAACAACTTAATAGTTGAACAAGGTCAGTACACTGAAACTCTCAATCACGATGACTTGTGATTTTGTGCTAGCATAACCGTAGATGGCTTCCAAATAGTTTCATTCACAAGGTTTCTGTCAACTACCTTTTTGAACCTAGATTAGAAGTTGTGAATTAAACAGATTATTCCATAATTTCCACTAAATAGGACTCAACTCACTAAACTGAAACCTTTTTTTTTTTTTAAACTATTCATGGTCATTTTAATTTCCAATCAGTGAGTTGACAATTAAAACTCTCATAAACGTCAATATAACAAAAAACCAGTGATGGGCTGGTGCTGACAAGTCCTCAGAGTTGAACCTTGACAGTGTTCAAAAGCAATCACATGACCATGTGTGTGATGAATTATTATTCATCCTACAATCTCTTTCTCAACGACAAATCTTGCTATTACAATGGCAACTTTTCAAACAAGCTATGTTCGTTAGCTCCACCAGTTCAGACCTTCACAGCTAGGACCTACCATGCTGCATACACAGTGTCAAATCATCCTCATTCCCATCATATTCCCTTTGTAAGGAGGAAGTTCCACACAGCTTTTTCCCCAGTGCTGTCGCTATGTGGAACAAACTCCTAATTAAATGCTTTCCTGACCACAACAATTTTAACCTCTTCAAAACTAGGGTCAACTGCTACATATCCTCTTAATATGCACTTCTTCCTTTTCCCCTATGGCAGTCTGTAACTCTCTACCTTGAGTGGCTCTTGGGCCCTGTATTTGTAGAACAATAGTAAATGAAAAAAATGCCTCCAAAGCAGTTTTTACCATAAGCTTTTCTTTTTGGCATTTCTTTTTACTTTGTAACTTTATTCTTTTTTTCTTGTTTTCAATTCTTTTTTTTCTCTTCATACCTTCTTTTTGTTCTATCCTCTCTCTTTTTGTTAATCTTTTCACTAAGTCTTTTTCTTCTTTCTTTCTTTCTTTCTTTTTTCTCCTACATTTATTTTATAATTTCTTTTCCACTTCTTTCTTGCTTTCTTTTTGTTTCTTTCTCTTTCTCCTTTCTTTATCTTCATTCTTAATTATGTACATTATTCTTTCTTTCTCTAACGAGTTCCTTAAACTTTTTCTCTAATTTTTTTATTTTTACTGTCATCTCCCCAATTCTTTTTTTTCCTTAATCTTTTCTTTCTTCATTCTTTCTTTTTCTATCCTCTTTTTTCTTTAGTCTTCACCAAGCTCTTCTACCTTTTTCTTCCTTTTCTTTTTACATTCTTTTTCTTTTTTCTTTCTTGATCCTCTTTTCCTGTTTTTTTCTCCCCCTTTTTCCTTATTTCTCTACCCTCTTTTATCTTTCTTTACTCTTTTTTTTTCCTGGTTTCTTTCTCTCCACTGTTTTCCTTTTTATTTCTCCATCCTCATTTCCTGTGTTCTTTCTCTACCTTCTTCTTCCTTTTTCTTTCTCTCCCACTTTTACTTTTTTTTTATCTACCCTCTTCTGCCATTTTCTTTCTTTACTGTCTCCTTCTTGTTTTCTTTCTCTACCTTCTCCCTTTTTCTTTCTCTACCCACTTCTTTCTTTTTCTTTCTTTAACCTCTTCTTCCTTTTGCTTTCTCTGTTCTCTTCTTCCTTTTTCTTTCTTTACCCTCTTCTTCCTCTTCCTTCCCTCTTCTTCCTTCTTCTTTCTCTACCCTCTTCTTTCCTTTGCATTCTCTACCCTAGTCTTCCTTTTCCTTTCTCTACCCTCTTCTTTTCCCTTTTTCTACTCTCTTCTTCCTTTTTCTTTCTCTCCCACTTTTACCTTTTTTCTTTATCTACCCTCTTCTCCCATTTTCTTTCTTTACTGTCTCCTTCCTGTTTTCTTCTCCCTTTTTCTTTCCCTACCCTCTTCTTCCTTTTTCTTTCTTTACCCTCTTTTTCCTATTCCTTTTTCTTTTTTGACCCTCTTCTTCCTCTACCCTCTTCTTCTTTTTCCATTCTCTACCCTCTTCTTCTTTCCTTTGCCTTCTCTACCCTGTTCTTTCTTTTTCCTTTCTCTACCCTGTTCTTCCTTTTTCTTTCTTTACTCTCTTTTTCCTATTCCTTTATCTGTCCTTTTCTTCCTTTTTCTTTCTTTACTCTCTCTTCTTCCTCTTCCTTTTTTGACCCTCTTCGTTCTCTACCCTCTTCTTCTTTCCTTTTCCTTTCTCTACCCTATTCTTCCTTTTTCTTTCTTTACTCTCTTTTTCCTTTTCCTTTATCTATCCTCTTCTTCCCTTTTATTTCTCTTGTTTCCTAAGTTTTCTTTCTCAGTTTTTTCATTCTCTCTTTTCTTTTTAAACTTTTTATTTTGTTGTATTCCTATCCTTCATTTATATACCCTTTCTTATTTTTTCTTTTCTTTATGTCTCTTTCACATCACTGTCCTTTTCTTTGCTTTTTTCAAATTTCCAAAAACTCTAATCTTTCTCCATCAGTCTCTCCTCTATCTTTCCTTCTTTTCTACCTTCCCATTTCTCTTTCCTGTTTCTTATCTCCAAGTGTGAAATATTTGTATCCATGAAAAATGCATACCCATGAAATATAGCAGAGGCACGGACATAAGCTGGTCTTGATAAACCTGTGGAAGGTCTGGCATAAAATTTATGAATTTCATTTCTTCGCATCGCACACCACACCTCCAATCCCTGCACTTCCTCCCCCACAATCACTCCTGCCTCAAGCAATCCATCCTGGTTCCGTCCACCTGAAACTTGGGCTACTTCAAGGAAAGCAGAATTGGGTTCTAAATTATGTGAGCATCAGGGAAGCAGTCCATTGAATAGTTACTTTAAAACTCATAAAGAAGAAAGAGAAAGGGGAAACTATAAAAAAAAAAAGAATAGAGGGTGTGAATGAGAGAAAGGAAGAGGAAGGGGAGAGGGAGAAAAGAAAGGGAAAGGAAAAGTGTGAGAGAAAGAGAGAAATAAAAAGTGAGTGAAACAAAATGATAAAATAGGAAGAAGAGGAAAAAATGAATACAGATTAAAAAAAAAATAAGAGGAAAAAGATTGAGAAGGAATAAAGAGAGAAAAATAATTAAAAGAAAAAAATGGAATATGTAGTGGAAGTGAAATATAAAATAAATAAACCGGAAAGAGAAAATATTAAAATAATCTCTAAAGTGAAGAAAATATTAAAAAATAACAGTAAAAAGAGAGAGAGAGAGAGATAACTGAGGGAGTAGAAAATGTAATAAAGAATAAAGAGGAGGAAAAATGACAGTAAGAAAAAGAGAAAGAAAAAATCATTAAAACAAAATAGAGAGTGGGTATCAAAAAGAGAGGGATAAACAGAAACTGACAAAAAATGAAAGAAAGAAAGAAATAGTAATTGAAGATAAAAGAGAAAATAATGAATGAAAATAAAAAACAAAACTAGTATTACATCAGAAAGAGAGAGAGAGAGATAATTGAGGGAGTAGAAAAGGATAAGGAGAAGAAAAAATGATAGTTGAGGGAGGAAGGGGAGGAAAAGAGATTTAAAGAAAGAAATTACCTAGTGATAATGAACAAGCAGAAAGAGAGTAAGAGAGAGAGACAAAAAAAAGAAAAGAAAGAAAGGGCAAATAAATAAATAAAAAAAGAGTGAGGACTTTTAACAGAGAAAAAGGGAAAAAGATAATGAAAAGAATTTTTTTTTTAAAATCAGAAAGATGGAAGGGGGAAGCTGAAGGAGATAAAGAAGTTTAAGAAAAGCAAAAACACAACAAAAATATAATGAAAATGGATTGGGACCGTGGGAGAGAAAAAAAAACGCTCTTGAGATAAAAAAAAAAAAAGAAGCTTCACGAACACAATTTATCCATTAATACTGATAATTGAGTTGGCTACTTTCATCTGTCTTATTCTTCCATTAATTTCAGCTTAGACAAAAAAAAATTAAAAAAAACATTCCAGTCTGTAATAATCTTATAATATTTCTTATTTTAAAAAGAATATTATATATATATATTTATATCCATTTTAATAAATAATATATATATATATATATATATATATATATATATATATATATATATATATATATAAATTTGGAAAAAAAAGACTGAAAATGAACTATGATCATTAAAAAAATAACCTTTAGATTTAAAGAAAAATCTAAAAAAAAAAATTAACGAACAAGCAGACAGACGAGAGAGCAAAAATAAATTTATTTAGAAGGTGACTGAGAAAATTAAAAAAAAAATAAAGGAGTGGACACAGTAAATGAAGAGGGACAATGGTAAAGTGTTTACGAGAGGGGGTGGGGAATAATCAGTTTAAAATGATAGAGTAGCCGCATGAAGTGAGGAGAGAAGAAAGAAAAAATTTGGAAAGAAAAGATAAAGGAATAGAGAGAAAACAGGGTGGAAAGAAATAATGGAAAAGTTTAAGAAATGAAAAAGAAAGAAAGAAGAAAAAGAAAACAAAAATGAGAATAGAAAAAGAAAGAAATTACAGAAAAAGAAAAAGAAGAAATAAAAGTTGCAATGAAAAGAAAGAGAAAGAATAAAAAGAAAATAAAGAATCTTAGAAAATATTTAAAAAAAAAAAACAAACACACACAGGACATACATGAAGATAATGAAAAAAAAGTATTTCCTTTTCCGAGAAAAAAAATAAGAAACGGGAAAATGAAAACTCCAGAATGAATAAAAGTTTTAACAGCATAAAGAAAGAAAGAAAGAAAGCAGAAGTGAGGAATGTAACAGAATACAAAGAAAAAAGAAAAAGAAAACAAAGAGAAATATGAAAAAGAAGTAAAAGGGATGAAGATTTAGGGTTTAGAAAATGAAACAAAAAGAAAAAGAGAGATTAAACATTTTGCTGAGGAGAGAAAGATATAACAAAATGGAAGAAAAAGGGGCAAAAAACAAAAAAGATAGGAAAAACTTGAAATGACAAGTTTGCTTTCATTCTGTTCTAACGATTTTTGTTTTGTTTTTTTCTTCATTCACTGATTTATCATTAATAATAATGATATACTTTCTCAGGTGAAGTGTTCAGAGAGTGAGACAACTGACAGGTGAACTGTTCACAGAGTGAGACAACTGACAACTGAACAGTGTTGATAAAATTTATTAGCTAACTTGAAACCTTGTCTTTCATTTTTCTTCTTCTCTATCTATTAAAACTACCCAGACTCATTCATTCATATATATATATATATATATATATATATATATATATATATATATATATATATGTATATATGTATGTAAATAAAGTAGGCTCTCAGACAATTTACCATTTGGTAATATATTCGAAATAAAGACAAAATGGCATATTTAAAATCAGCAGCAACTTGATTTTTTCCTTTTTTTAATGAGAGCTTCATTTCATTTAATAATAAAATAAAATAAAGCTGATAATAAAACATAAGAAACAATAAATTTAAACATTATTCTCTCTTGTCAAATTTCATCATTATTATTATTATTATTTCTTTTTTAGCACCACTATTATTATTATTGTCATTTTTAATAATAATAATATTCCTTCTCATCCTACTCCTCTTATACTCAATGTAATAATTTATCCAAAGAATATTGTTATTATCATTATTTTATTTTTTAATCATCGCCACGATTACTATGATTTGTAGTTATCTTTTATTATTGTTTATAATAACTTTGAATTATTTATTTTTTTGTTTTCGCAATCTCAAAAAAGTTAAAAAATGTAAATGGAGAATTTATATTAAAATAGAAAGGCTTCCGTTTCATCTCAATTTCACCTTTATTTTATTTTAAAAATATCTGATCATGTTTTATTTAATGCCTTTTCTTTGTTTCTTTTTACAGGGAAGTTTTTTTTTTTATCATCAGTAAATGAAAACTGAAGGTAGAAAATAAAAATGTCAACAGAATTTTCTGGCAAAATTTTCTTGGGGCAGAAAAACAAAAAGAAAGAAGGAGTGATGACAACATATTTTAGTCAAAGATACTTAGGAATTTTTTCTTTTGTATACATTTACATGATAAGACAAACTTCAGTCTGCTGGGGAGAATAAAATAAGTGAATGATTTAATTTAAAATTACAGAATAAAAACACTGTGGGTGTAAAGGAAATTAAAATGAACAATACAATAATAATAATAATAAGGAAGGAGATAAAAAATAAAACATAAAAAGAGGAAGAGGGATAAAGTGTAAATATTTAACAAATAGTAAAAATGACACAATTGCAAATCTGAAAATAAAGAATGTCAAAATAAAAGAATAAAAAAGAAAAAGATAAAAAGAAAAAAACACTAAATAAACTTATTAAATAAAAAACTAAAAATATAAATAAGCATGTCTGAGATCTATAATAATTGACAAAACATTAAAATAATTTTAAAAACTTAATTACAAACTCAAATATAAAATCATAAGATATGAAGAATGAGTAATTTTTCAAAATTTCTCTTCGAAATACCAAATATCTTATAAAATTTAATCAATGCTGAAAATTATTGTTTTTAGGAAAGAACCAATATTGTTAACTCCATAAACAAATAAACAAAGCAAAGAAAAACTGGTTAAGTACAAATAAAAATATATTATTTTAAGTGAAACTTAAAGGGACAGGAATTTGCACAATTAATCAGAAGCAAAATTAACATTTTACTTATTGCATCAATTTTCCCAATTGCTTTTAAAAGCAATATTTGAATTATTTCATTTTGGCTGATAAATAAAAAATCCTGATGATGTAAACTTTAGGAGAATTAATACTATATATATATATATATATATATATATATATATATATGTGTATATTTAGGCAGCAATTTTTCATTGATGCATGTTTCATTAAATAATATAGACAAGTTTGTGCAGAAACTAATTCATCTGCAAAACAGATTTTTTACAGTGAACTAAAAAATATAAAACAAACACTTAATAATAGCTTTCCAAACTATATAGTTGATGAACAAATAAGATGCTTTCTTAGAAATCTTAATACTAAGCAAATAGAACATAATACTGCTTCAACTAATCCCAAACATATTAATCTCTTATATCGTATTCAAATGCATACTAATTATAAACAAGATGGAAATATATTAAAAAAATTAGTAAATACTAATATATCTACAACAGACCCTAGCAAAAAAAATTAGGTTAATCATATACTACACTAAATCTAGTATATCCAACTTAACTATTCGCAATGATTCTTCCCCACTCCTTGTTAGTGACTTGCAAAAAACTAATATAGTTTACAAATTCAAGTGCCCTTTGGGAGATTGTATCTCCAACAAATTAAATAATATTTATGTTGGTCACACCACAAACTCGCTTTCACAACACTTGACTCTACATTTGAATGATAAATCTAACATTTTTAGGCATTTAAAAGAACATGCCTGGCCGCATACATAATTCCAGAAATCCTCGTTGAAAACACAACTATACTTAAACATGAAAACAATAAGCAAAAACTAAAAATTCTTGAAGCTATATACATAAAACAGTTGAAACCTAACCTGAACAAAATAAACTATGAAATCTCCACAAATATTCTTAAATGCCTATAATTGGTAACAGAAGCCATTGATTTATACCAACGGCTTCCCATACTTAATACTTCTCATTTTCACTCGTGCGTAGTCATGTGTGACATCATGAGCTGCAACACGATTTTCACTTCCGTGTCTTGTATACACAAGTTTGTCGTTGCTTTGAAATTTTTCATGCAACAAAAACAGACTATCATTATTGTTTCGTCCGTGTATTGTTTGATATATTGAAATGTAATTGTCATCTTTGATAATGGCTTATGTAAGCCGAAAGCTTAGATTGGATTTAAACATGTATCAATATGGTGATTTCCTTTCAACTTTCAATGATAATGTTATTAAGCTTATCAGACATTATGAAAGGAACTTACTTAAAATAAATAAACAAAACTTGTCTATATTATTTAATGAAACATGCATCTATATATATATATATATATATATATATATATATATATATATATATATATATATATATATATATATATATATATTTACCACACACATAAATTGATAGATAGTTCTTAAATATCTCTTTAAGTGCATGTTTTAGTCAGCAAATACAATGAGTGTGTCCCTGTATGTTTGTATATATGTGGCCAAGTGGTTAGAACATTCGCTTTCTGACTATGAGAGCCGGGTTCCTGACGAAACTCACTATGGTCGGTTTGTCAGGAAAGTGACTTCTTGATGTTATCAGTCTAGAGGGAAGTGATCCCATCATGGAACACTTTTGATAAGTGCCTGAAAACCATACCACAGGCTGAACCAAGCCATCTGAGTAAAATTTGGGTAGATGGAGCCATCGATGGTTTTGCTAGCACAAAGTCACAAACAATTGTGAGTGAGGGTTTGAGTCTGATGGCCTTGTTCAGACTGTTGATCATGCTAGATAAAGTGCTCCCTCTCTCTTAGAAACTGTAACTAAGGTCTGCTCAGCATAGTTGCAGTATAAACTACTGGTTGAATCTGTGGGTGTTGAACAAACACAAATGTGCCTAAGCAGGCATCTTCAACAGGATTAGCTAGCATCCCTAGTAGGCAGGTATGTTCAGTTATGAGTGGCCAGCTGTTACTTTGTGTGTGTGTAATATCCAACATCAATAGCATGACACAAAGTTTCATGCAGTTGCTGCAATCTTCAAGTGCAAATACAATCTTACCGTGAAATTTGCATTCTTCTGGTGATGATACAAAATTTTGTGTTAAAACGTGTTTATTTAATTATTGCTACCTAAAATATTAGAATTAATTTGTAATAATTTGTATCATTTAAATTCATAAGTTCGAAAGGCAAAGAAAGGCAAAGAAATAACAAGTTAAATAAATTAAAAATCTTTTTGATTAAAT